GCCAGCAGGCTGCAGCCGGAGGATTGCACATTCCTTGAACCATTTGGTTTTAAGTCACGCAGGGTGGGGCTCCCACCCCTCCTCTGGAAGAGGATCCGACAGCAACTTTGCCTCATAGCTGGAGCATCTGCTTCCCCGATCGCCAGCCGTGCATGTCCTCCCATTACTCCTGGTTATACCCCCTCACGCCACCCCGAGCCGTTCCACTCCTTCCTCAGCTTAATCCCCTCCAGGCTCTTCTACACGGCTGCCACAGCGGTCCTTAGCAGGGGTTTGGCCAAGCGATACACATTTAGTTCTTTTAATCTTTCTCCATAAATCACTGTCCTCAGTCCCTCCTCTCATGCAACCTTGCACTGCCTCTGAAATTCCCCAACTGCTCGGGAAGATTTAGTAGCATCTTCAGCTGCTCCAGGGCTAATAACACAGTGTTTGATCTCTAGGAGGGTGGCGGGAAGCGTTAGGGATTTAACGCTTTGAGGTTCTGCCATTTCTTAAGCCGGCTTGATTGTTCTGTTTTAGGTCTTAAGGAGAGTTTCTGCTGGAAAGGAGGAGAAGATAACCAGCCACTAGCACCTTAGCTCCTGTGGCTCAGCTCAAGGGCACGGGGGAGCTTTACCTCCTGAGAGCTAGGATACAAGGAGGCCACTGAGCCTGCTGCGATAGGAATTCCCAGCGGCTACACAGCATGCAGGAACTTCTCAAAGGAAGATTGTAGCGATCAAGGATATTCAGGGATACAGAAAACGAGCTGGAAAGGAGGATGTCTTCCTCCAGGGGCCAAACAGGAATGGGAGAGGAAGTGTGGCATTCTGATTGAGGAACTGTGACTTGGGCGAGAGCGAGGCTCTGCTCCATCCCCTGCCGCTGATTCCCCATGGGACCTTGGTCACGTCACTTTTAATCTGTACTTGTTTCTCCCCCTCTCTGTAAAATGGGGACAATCCTCCTTCTCTACTTGCAGATGCTTTTCAACATGCAGGTATATGGGAGATACCAGAGTACCACAGATGTACAGGATGAATTACGATGCTGGAAATCAAGAGGTATCTGCAGTGGTAGGAGGGTTTGAGTAATTGGATTCGCAGAGCGTGGTAGTCTGTTTGAACTAGAAGACCTTTACTTAAACAGATGTGGCTTAAAGGGCTCATAAGATTGAGCAGTGGGGTGAGAAGAGCTTTTCCTTCACTTGAAAAACACAGCGAGCCCTTCTGGGGCGCGGACAGGATGGAAGAGCTCCAGAACAGAATAAACACTCTCAAGTGTTGGTGAACAAACACATGCTGGAAGTGTTATTAGGTGACAAACCATGCAATCTAGCGGACACAGATACGACCCGACTGGATGGGCTTCACATCCAGAATGATCCTGGAGCCTGGACGTCTACCACGCCACCGGCTTCGGGTCAGCAAGGCAGAACGGAGCAAATGCTTTGCACGCGAACACGAGGAAGGAAAGATTAAAGGAGAAATAGCAGCAGACATCTGCTAGGGACCAGCCCCCCTCAAAGGGGAGTGAACACAGCAATTCCTGGATCTACTCCGATAGTTCTTGAAACTCCGGATCACAGCACTCGGGAGGAATTTTAAATATCCGGACATCTGCTGTGTAGCAAATGCAGCCAAATTTTCACGAAGGAGATTCTAAGATAGAAAGACGACAAGTAGAACCTGCTGAAAAAAAATTAAAATCAGAAGAGAAGCCATCCTGAATTTAGCTTTGACCAACAAGCCGACAGGGATTGAAAATGTGAGAATAAAGAACAAGCGGTGCGCCTGCACTGACAGGCTCTGATTTGACCAGAGTAAGGAATGGGCCTAGTTCAGGGAGGTCCAAGCACAGCTGGAGGCCAGGATGTCGCATTTTGGGGGAAGAAAGAAATGAAGGGAGGGATCCTGACACTACTGAAGTCAATGGGCAGATGCCTATTGATTTCCAGTAGGGTTCAGCTCTCACCGTAAGTGAACACAGTATTATAGTAAGCAGTATTAAAACCCGACGTGCATACATGAAGTGTGGAAGTGGCAGAAAGGATCAGACCCACAAAGCAGGGAAGTTTCAAGCAAGGCAAAGGCACAATCGTCATCTTGAACAATGCCAGGAACACGGGTGGCCAATGTGGTTTCACTTGGGAGCTTTCAAAGAATGAGGTAAGAAAATCCTCGCTGCAGTTACTGGAAAAGAAGCAGCAGCAGCAGCCAGAAAACAGCACAAATGAATAGCCCTAGGGGCCAAGGTGAAGGAATAGGACGTTTGTTGTTCTGTTTTGGGGAAGTCGTTAACATGACTACATGTTGAGGGGAGGGGGTGAAAAGAAGTGCAACTCAAAAAAGGATGATGCATTTTGAATAAATCCTTCCTTAAGAAAAATAAGAAGCTGAGATCAACAGGAAATGGATAAGGACCTTACAAAAGAATGAGCACTGAGAAATGTAAGGCTATTTTCTGAACCCTCAAACACAAATCGACTGTTCCTGCTGGCAAAGACTGCAATGGAACCGATCTTGATGAGAAAAAAAAGGCTCGTTAGACTGCCTTAGACTTGAAGCTCTTTGGAGCAATGCCTATTCTGTTTGCCTAAAACAGGGGGGCTCCAGTCTTGGCTGGTTTCAGGGCGGTGCTGTAATAACCATGATTTATTCATCATGGAAGTGATCTTGACTTGCGTTCTGAGAATGTCATCACTGGGAACAGCAGCACAAATACGAGGGAGCTCAGCAAAATGCAGGTAAATATCACTGGTGGGTTGGAGGGACTGATTGCTGCGACATTCAGATCCCAAGGTAGCTAGGTGTTTGTGCAACCGCTCAGCTATAAGCAGGTGAGTAACCCTATTCACTTCCATGAGACTATTGCATACTTCAAGTTAAATAGTGCTTAAGTGCTTTTCTCAGTAAGGGCTTAGTGCAGTGGTTAGGCTCAAGGCAGCCCTTGGAAAATGCCAGCTCTTGGCTTGCACTCATTTTTTGACTATAGAAAAACAAGGGAGCAATTCCTCTGGTGCAAAGAACTCAAGAAGACCACAACCAGGCAGAGTTTTCTTGACACTCTTGGTTCCTACCTGAAATTCCTGGGGTTATCTTATGACTCCAGTGTAGGTGTTTGCAACCTGACGGTGCTCTGCAGCACCCTTGAAAGGATCTCACGGCACCTGATGTGCGGCAGCACTCTGGTTGAGAATCACCCGTCTAGAGGCAATGACTACCTATAGTTCACCTAATGCACAGAGAAAAAAATCTGTCTACAAATATGTGAAGAATTCAAACCCCAAATAATGTTAGGAGACATGTTTAAGGTCGAGGTCTTAGGCTAGAGAACAAATGGCCCGTATGCAATTCAGAAAAGAGTGATTTAGCTTAAAACTTCTGGGAAGTTCCTGATAGCAAGGGCTGTAAGTCTGTAGAGTAGTGTCCCAAAGGACAAAAATAAAAGTCTCATGGCTTAGGACGTTTAAAAGCAGATCAACCAAGAAAAGGCAGGCACTTGATTCCTACTGAATTGTAATGGGCGTGTGGGTGCCTTACTCCCCTAGGCTCCCCTGAAATTCTTGGACTTAAATGTTCAGTGGAAAATAAACCTGACAGAGATGCAGAGCAGATAGCTTTCCATGGGGCTTTTACTTCACCGATTCCTATGATTCATGTAACAAGAAATATTTACAGTATGAGCTATGCAGGCATCTTATTAAAAAAACAACCCAGAAAACCAAACCCTCCCCAATTACAGCACAGCCCATTTTTCAGGGAACTCTAGAGAATTAAGTCACAGATCCAATGCCAACCATAAGTAACATCTGAAACTTAAGAACAGTTACCACTGGGGGCAAAACCCCAATCTGTCAGGCCTGAAAAAAACAAATCACACGAACAGAGCAGATCAAAAATATACATGGGGAAAATATTACAACTGCCAGGATCTGGAATTCAATAAGCAATTCTGCTGAAAGCCTTCCAAGGGAATTTAATAAAGCTTTAAAAATGAAGTGCAGGTTATAAGAAGATACATTTATTTTTTGAATGGTTTTGTCTTATCTCCTTGTAAGGCCAGGCAACAATTGACAGCCATTCTGCAAGCAATGATTTATCAATACTGATATTAAATTTATCCCATCCTGGATGACTTTCAGCTAACAGAACCTCATTTATCAAAAACTTCCTATTATACAAATTAGGGTTGTATCTTCCAATGGTGAAAATTAATTCATGCAACACTGATTTGGGTTATCTGGATTTGTTCCCATTCCCTATTACAGTCAGATAACCCAAGTTATATCGCGTTTTCTGACCTGATGTGTCAAAATCCAGGGACTGTCAGTGGTGAAAACTCTGGTTCCACTGAAGTCAGTAATAAACTCCCACCGACTTCAGGTGGGGGATTTGTCCCTGGCGGCAAGGTGAAATAAGTAAGCAGGACAAAGCTATCCAGCTTTCCAGGTCCTTTCCTTTGGATACTTAGAACTGAAAATGCAATTTAAATGCATTATTGCTTTTCTTTACGTAAAATAAATTCTTTTTCTTGATGAAAACAAATAGGACATGAACCATACAATAAAATACACAAACACATTCTCTTCTCAAAGAAGGATACAAATGTGCTTGACAGCATCTAACTCAGAGGAACAAAATGCTGTCATGCTTGGGCAAGATCCCCACTGAAGCCACGGAGCTTTGCCCGAGACTCGACTGTTAGATGAGGCCCGGGAAAGCATGGGGAATGAACCAGGAGGTGTCTAAGATCCTGATCCTGCAGAGATCATCATGATCTTATATTGCAGTAGCACCTAGGAACTCACCCTGGATTTGGGTTTTGTTGCCCTAGGTGCTGCGTAAACTCAGAACAAAAAGACAGCTCCTACCCCAAAGAGCTTCCAGTCTAGATGCATGCCCTTATCTTTACTCATGTGTGTAGTCCCAGTGGCTTCAATCCAACTACTTGCATGTCTGAAATTAAACACGGGCATGTGTACTGGCGAGAGGATGGCCTAAGACAGCAGAACATACATGGCCATTTGCAACGAATCCTTTTGGTGTGGCAAGTCTCAAGCAATTGTAGCAGTGTGTTGGCAAGTCAACGTATCCACTCATCTAGAAGCTTTACATTTAGAACATAGGAGCTGCATTGACTGGGTCAGACCCTCGGTCCATCTTGTCCAGGCTCCTCTGTCACAGCGGCAGAGAGCGGATGCTGAAAGGGAGAGGGAAGAGGGTCTGACCAGGGCTTTTTCCACCGTTCCTGTCCCACTTGCAAATCTCTGGCATTTAGGATCTAGGAAGTTCTGATTCAGAGGTCGTGCCCCTCACTCCTGCGCTCAATAGCTACCGATACCTGTTTCCTCCAAGAATTTGCCCAACCCCTATTTGAACCTGGCTGCCAGCTTCCACCACATCTTGTGACAAGTCCCACACCTGAATTACACATTTACATGCACAAATAAAAATCACTATGTCTGAGGCAAGCATAGAACTGCTGGAAAGAAAGATCCCTTATCCAAAAGTATTTTTGATACTACAAATCCCACTCAGTTCACTGCAGCATCTGAACATTTGTGCAGAAGCAAGAACAAGCGCATCATTCTGGTGTAATGCCACGAACCCATTTTTCAGAGGGAGCTGGAAGATGCCGCTTGCCTTGTTTTTCACAACTTCACTGGGCCAAGGGGCTGGCTATGCTACGAGCAGGACATTTTTTACTTACAAAATTTCTCTAATCCACTCTGAAAACACTCAGGGCTGAGCTTACTTCCCAGTATCAAAATCCCTTGGATAAAATACCTCCCACCCAGGACTCTTTATTTACCAATAACCATCCCTCCAGGCGACGCTTACCATCCAGTATCTTTATCCCTGGGAAAAAGTTAAGCCCCACTATGACAAGCTTCTTCGCCTCTCAGGGAATTAGACAGGCATGAACTGAAAAGCCCATTTGTGTTTTCACAGCTTGCTTGAAGTGACTTTCCATTCCCAAGTCGCTGAATAAACTAAGCAGCATTTCACTGGAGCAGAGAGAAATGATGCATCGAGGGTCCCGATGCTTCTGACGGATCTAAAGCAACGAGGTGAAAGGCTTGGGAAGAAAGAGGGAAAGGCTTTGGGAAGAAAAACATTCTCAAGAGGGACAAGGGAAGGCTGGAGGCTCAGCCAGGTGTGAGTGAGCATGTTTCAATGAGGCACAGGTGCTGTTCACCTCTGATGCCTCCGCAGTGGAAGATATGGGCTCTCAGCCCCTTCAGGATCAGGCCTAGAGAACCCCACGTTGCTCTGAAGCCCAGCATTACCTGTGGGCTCCACCTCCAGAACCTGGATGTGCTCATGACTGGGATGAATCATCTCACTGTAAGGTGCTGGGATACGTGGTTGCTAGTCATTGCAAGAAAGGACAGGAGAACCCAGCTCAGCGATTCCTTTGCCTTGTAGTTCATCCCAGAGGAGTCTACGTGGATCGGGATGTTTGTGTGTGGAAGTGAGACAATTTGCAGAGTTTTTGCTACCGCAGAGGTCAATGCGAAGGTGCAGGTTTGGAGAACGGGTGCAGATTGACGTCACTGGTTAGAGAGTTGACAGATTATTCTTGCGCTCAACATTTACTGTAAATAATTCTTGAAATCAACCCAGCCACGTCAGCGATTCATTCCAAGAATAATGTAGCAAGTCTCTGACAGGCACGGATAGCTGCTGATGGAGGATCAACCTGCGATGCTACTTATTTTACAAGACCTTTTTATTCTATTTCACAGATTTGACTATTACAGCAGTGAAATTATTACAAGTGACTCATAACATTTAGGGTCAAATTAAAGTAGAAAAAACACAAACACAAAGGAAAGTTACATGTGATGCAATGTGTGGTAAATGTGTTTTAAGAGCACAGAAAAAATATATAAAAATACGTTTGGGTCAAGAATTTTGCAGACAACTTTTGACTTAGTTACACGGTTGACGCCACTTAAAAAGCACAGTATTTGAAAAGTGTAATTAGAAATGTGATAAAATCCAACAGTATATAAAAGGCAAAAAAAATAAAACAAAAAATGAAAGGAAGGACAAAGGGGAAACCTCTGTTTTATGGCAAACTTCCAATCCTTTGGCCACTAGAAAGCAAAGTCAGTGGATTTCTTATAAATTCTCTGTATAAAGGAATGTCTATGATCTGTGTGCAACATGGCCCAGAATCGACATCTCATTATCAGGCTAATAGAGCTCCTCATAGAGGAAAAGAAGGTGCTTATGTCATGGTTGATTCTTCCCACTATAATACTGTCCGCAATTGGACTAGTGCCCCAAAATCCCATTTTAGGAACGCTGCTAATTCCTTTAATGGCAAGGAAACGCAATGACCCGTAGACTGCCGCGGAGGCAGGGAGCTCGGGCAATGGCTTCACTAGTGCACACTTGCTTTAGCTTTAAAGTTCGTGTGGTTCACTGGCAGTGGGTGGGCTTCCGTGTTGAATACCCAGTCTTCCAGAGATAGCACATCATCTTCACAGAACAGAAGATAAAGGTACCTGGAGCCCCATGGTGGGAAGAGAGAAAAGGCAGAGAAAGAGTCGATTACAGAAAAGCTCTAATGGGGTTCCCAGTGAACACGTAAGGCCCGATCCTCAGATGGAGTAAATAGGGATAGCTCATTATTACTAGAGCTATATGGTGAGGATCTGACAACGACTGCTATTAAATCCAATGTACAGCTAAAATGTACTGCCCTGTGCCTGGGAAACTGCAAAAAGGTATCCCAGTCACATTCCCTCCCCCTTCTGCGGTGGTTTGGCAGATGCCGCATGAATGCTCTCACAATCTTCCACAATCTGCACAGCAGGTAATCAAATGCTTTTTAAGATTAAATCATACTGTATTTTGCATAAAGCTGAACAATGGCCTTCATGCCCCAAGAAAAACGCTATTCTGAAAGATTTCTATGATATTAGACTTACTTCAATGTCTCTGCCAGGAAAAAGCTCTGTTGCATGTTGTCGTGGGTTGGGGTGGTGGTATACACGTCTCGGATACCAGAGTAACCGGCTTCTACTCTACAGTGTTTTTCTAGTGCCTGAGGAAGGAAACTAAATCTCAGCAACACATGGCAGCATGGAGTAACCCATTAATCATCATCAGTTGTGTTACAAGTCAGGTTTACAAATCAGATTCAGTTTTTAAAGCAGCTTCTCTCTCACTGATTATTACCCAGGACTCCAGGAAAATGCTAGATCTAATGAAATAGCTAGAGCAATGTAAACTACGTAAGCTCGTTGACTGATTGACCTTGGTGTTACTCACTCATCAGCAATAGATCTCAAGTAGTAACTCTTTATGTTTATAGAGTATCTTCTGAAGACACTTGCGACTGATAGCGTGGCCACTGAAATGCAATCTCTATGGGTATTTGTGCACGTTTGTGCTGCAGTGCCAGGAGCTTTTAAAAGTGCCCGGCGCCGAGGTGCATGCATTTGTATAAATAGTAAAATGCATGTTAGCAGTGAGAAAATGGTGGCAGCACACTTTTGAATTAAAACACATCAAAGGTGTTTTAGTTCAAAAGCGCACCACCGCCATTTTCTCAGCACTCACACGCATTTCACCATTTAAACCAATACATGCGATGCAGCGCCGGGCACCTCAGCTCGCATGCGGAGCAAACTTGATTAATCCGAAGCGTGGAAGCAGACAAATCTAGGTGTATAAATGCTCTATATGGTATGCACCAGCAGCCAACTGGCCATCACACAAGACAACAGAGCTAGGTGGGGGGCCATGCTGGCTGGAAAGTCTCCTATGGGGGGGGTGGGGGGGTGCAGCTTGTGTCCACACAGCACAAGCAAGACCTTGTCTCAGTCAAACATGTCATAGAAAGCTCACAGATCTACCTTTATAGGCTGAAGACTGATAAATATGAACCTGTGGATTCAAGCAATCTACACGTTTTGGAAGTGTGGCTTACTTCTCTGGGGAGGGAAGGAGTATGGGGAACAGATCAAGACCCCTGCGGTGAGGGAGGGAGGGAGCGGGACTGGGGCTGCACAGGGGGATGGATCGAGCCACAAGCGGCTTGTCCAGGGGACGCAGGGGTGGGGGGAGCTCCTGCTGCTGCAAGCACCCCTGGATCTGCATGCAGGGCAGGGCAGGGCAGGTTGCCACTGTGGGTTTGAGACTGGGCAGCGCTGAGCTTTTCCCGGCAGAGGGCTGGGCCAGGCTGCGCTGGGGGCAGGCGCTGGCGGTGCTGGGAGAGGGGCTACTGGGGAGGAGGGGGGGCGGCTGCAGCCACCCCAAAATTTGCTGCAGCCCTCCTGCCCCCTCCCCCTCCCCCTCCCATGCCCTCCCAGGGTGCATGCAACACCCCCACCTCCCTACACCCCCCAGATGAACCACACACAGCTCCGTCCCATGCCCTGCCCCGACTGGACTGTGCAGCGCCTGCCCTAGCCCCACTCCCTCCCTCACCACAGGGGCTTCAATCTGCCCTCCTCATACCCCTTCCCCCACAACAAACTTACCATCCAGACCTGGCTGCTCTCCCTGCTGCCAGGCTGTACTGGCAGTCTGCATACTGCACTGCAGCTGCACACATGCACGAGGCATTTATCAGCCAAAAAAAGCCGACTGTTGATATTGTCAATTTTCCTTACGTTGGTGCCGATCTGATATGGGACCAATATATTGGTGCATCTCTACTTAATACTGTTACTAATCTGGGGCATTTTTCCTCCAAGCCTCCCAAATTTATTTATCTCAGGCAAAGCCTAGACAGGAATAGGAAACATTCTTTCACTGACCAGCAAAGAGATGAGAATCAATGAGATTGATCATTGTATCTTGTAGGGTTGCTAATACATACTGGTGAGCAGTGCAATGAAAGTCCCTTTTATTCTTTTCCTGTCCAAGGGGAAAACCTTTCATAAGAACCCTGCGGTCTGTAATGGTTAATACTGTATGTTTTGCGGTCATACCTGCACAACTTCCCACCCCCACTGTCTGTATTTTGGATCATGCGTCAGTCTCCACATGTACAGGTAGCTTTCTACCACTTCCGGGCGTAGAATATAATAGCGCTCGCTGAGTCTGGTGGCTGTGGCTTCGGTTCCAGAATCAAAGCGAAACGCTTCGGGGCCAAGTTTGGTATCTAAATGAAATGAGAACACACAATAATCGTGATTTAAAATTCATCAAAGGAGAGGACAGGGTTTGAAAGGGCTTTGATAGAGCCATAGCTTCCAGTGGGATCTAACAGTGAGATGCAGAGCATCAACCACAACAAAAGTTCAAGTCAAACCCAGTATAAACTCCTCAGTCAATTCCATTGGCAAAAACAAGACACTTGGCTAAGCCTGCTCTAAATTCTGCTCTCACAGTTCTGGTGAAAGGTTTGGATAACAGCTACAAAAACTTAAGGTACTTCTGAGAATAGTAGTATGGGC